CGTGGTATAGATGTCAGACATCACTGCTGAAGTATATTTAAAGAGTCCTTACTTGTAGTGGTATAGATGTCAGACATCACTGCTGAAGTATATTTAATGAGTCCTTACATATAGTGGTATAGATGTCAGACATCACTGCTGAAGTATATTTAAAGAGTCCTTACATATAGCGGTATAGATGTCATATGTTACTGCTGAAGTATATTAAAAGAGTCCTTACTTGTAGTGGTATTGATGTCAGACATCACTGTTGAAGTATATTTAATGAGTCCTTACATATAGCAGTATAGATGTCAGACATCACTGCTGAAGTATATTCAAAGAGTCCTTACTTGTAGTGGTATAGATGTCAGATATCACTGCTGAAGTATATTTAAAGAGTCCTTACTTATAGTGGTATAGATGTCACACATTACTGCTGAAGTATATTCAAAAGAGTCCTTACTTAAGAGCTAATAATGTGAAGACCAATATATATTTTGATTTACTGCTCGTCACTGAGTTATGGTTTCAAGAAATTCTACCCTTCACCAGTATCCCTGGACAAATTAAAAGAAAGAGAGTAGGTTTTATACAGTGGCAGAGTGTATATCATATGTAGGGTGTAGTTAAAGAGTGTGTCAGCTGAATAACATAGAGAATAATAAATAAGTTGCAACAATGCTGCATATTCTTGAAATTCATTTAATAAATATACTACAACTATGTGAGTAAAAGACATTACTACAAATTTTCAATCCTCAAACAATATTACACTTTACAACTACAAAACAGCACACAACTAACTTTTTAAATGTCTTTATACTATGTATTACTAAATGTTTTCCATCCTCAAATAGTATGTATAGACATACAATAACACTACAGTTATAACAAAACAACACAGCACAATAAACTGAGCCTTCTTATGATAACCTACATACTAGTTACCATGGATATATTGGTTTTCAAGACCTACATTTATTAATAATTGAATTTATAACAATCATAAATGTCTACCTGAAGTAATGATCTCACTGTTGGCTGGAAGACCAAAGAATGGTTGAGCAAGAAAGATCGAAGCAAAGGCTGTGGATAGAGGGCTAGACGAGCTAGTACCTCTGTTAACCGGAGATTTGTGTACACATCATTCTGAAGCATCATCTCTAGTTTAGTTAACAGAACATTGAGAAAAGGTCCAATATCAGGACTTTCAAAAGACTCCAAACTTGATGGAGATGATGTACTAGACTTGCAAGAATCTTTAGTTCTGTTACCTAATAGCAAGGACTTAGTTCCGTTATCCTGAAAATCTGAGAATGTGCACAAATTACTTAAGTGTTGATTTTTTTTTATTTTAATCAATTCATACTTTGACAGTTGACCCTTATTTTCATGCCTTTCTTTAAACAATGCTGAATTATCCATATGGTCTCCTGATCTTTCTACATTTAACTCAATGATACTATTTTCCATATTCATTTCATTCTCATTTCTAGATGAACCATTTACTGTAGACTTTGAGGATAGATTGCACATGATATTTTCAGTGTTCAAACAGTGACTCAGTGTTGAACTTTCTCCATTTTGGTGGCTAGATTCAGTTTGATTTAAATCAGTGTAGTAATTGTCAATTATTATCAATTTTTCATCACACTGTCCACTTGGAACAGAGGAATCTCTAGAAACCTCAGTGCATGACTGATGTTTCTTAGCTGGATTCATTAAAGATGCATCTGGGGGTGGTATCAACCCATTATAAGGAGCAGTCCACTTTAGAGAAGCTTTAGTGCAGGCTAACACACATTCTCTAGCTTCCTTGAGATAATCTAAGTAACTAGTTTCATGGTGCTCCCTCTCTTCATAGTACAACTGCATTGGGTTAATACCGTTATTACCACTACATGATCTTTGATTCACATGAAAGTCACCAGAGGCAAGGCTTGATGTTGAAGTTGTACGACGATGTCTTTTAACTCTTAAACTACCCCCGAGTGACAGTCTCTCCGAGTGCTTCATGTTTGAAGGGAGAGAGGATGTTGGCAAGGTTAAGAAACAAGTAGGTACTAGTGACAGTAGCTTTTCTGCTGTCTGACTGTATACATCCACATCACGCAACCGAATTCGCTGGCTAACCATGACATGGGTACAAGGAATCAAGTACCTGAAATTATGACAATAATTTTAACAAGGAAAATGCAAGAGTAAAAAACTATACTTCTGATAAAAAATATATAAGACTGTTGTAGTTCTGAAATACTTTTTAGAACACAAAATGTAAATACAACTGAACAACAATACATAAAATTATCTCTAGATAATTATTACTTGATGAAACTAATCATATATATTTACAACTATTATATTAAACCAGAGATATTAATGAATTTGCAGTTCAAAAAGTAGTTAAAACTTGCTGCTAAGAAACCGTTCTTTCAGTTTAATAAAGAAATATATAAAACAAATAGATGTGTAGAAATGGGCTCAAATTAAACAAATCCATTTCTTATAACTTATTGAAAGAAAACAGTTAAACAATTGTCTGCAAGACAATGATTATTATTATTTAAACAAACAACATGATAAAATGAGTTCTAAACTGTTAATAAAATAGCTTTTTTTGAGTGTATCAGTTGTTACAAATAGTATATTTTTGAAACTAGTTTTTATCGTAAACCTACATTTACAGGACTGTATGCTCATTTATTTCTTTAGAGGCTAAAGAAGTTTATTACTAGCCAAATTATGGAGTTTCACCGCAGAGAATTTGCCATTGTGCAGGCCAAGTAGTATCATAAACATCCTTATTTCCAAATCATTGACTACAATGAGGCAATTGGCCAGAAGCAGCCACTTTTACTTTACACATTATTATTGTTAATTACTATACATCATGTATCTATATTACAATTGTTAAAAAGCCAGTTATTCAATGTAAATAAGATGATTTTAATATCATTACTTCCACAAATAGAAAGCTGTAAATCAAATCTACAAAAATATATATTTTCAAGTGTTTCTAAAACGACATTTCACAAATAAATCTTCTGGAATTTCTGAAGCTGAGAATTCATACAAATATTAAACAAGATATTTTATTTTGAAGAAACTACATAATCTGTAGAATGTTAATCTCAAGTTTCAAACTATTTCACCCAGAATGGTTTTCATAATAGGAAAAACATACATGCTATGTGTGTCAAAGTGACACACTCACTAATTTTATGCATTGTTGTTCAGTTGCTTATACAGAATTTTCAGTAGTTTTATGTATGGTTGTTTTGTCACTTATACAGAATTCTTAATAGTTTTATGTATTTTTGTTCAGTTGCTTATATAGAACTCTAGTTGAGATACTTATACAAAATACTCTGCAGTTTTATGCACAAGTCCCTTACACAAAACATTTGGTAGTATTTCTATTATTGTTCACTAATTTACAAAAACTCTCAGTTTGTTAAATTTTTTCAAACATTGTAGTATACGGTTTATTGCTATTGTTCAGGTGGTATGTTCAGATGTTTCATGATCCTCTATATAGTACTTCCTATATCTTAAACATGTGTACTGATGAATTAATAACAAAGCATCTGGAAAACATATCTTTATAATTGAATATATGTTGAATTCACTCAAATTTAAATTCCAGCACACTTAACTGAATACTAGCCCTAACACCACAAAGTTGAGAAAGGATACAAACACACTTACTTGATTACTAACTCCAACAAGACAAAATTCAGAATAGATATTAACACACTTGCTTGAGTACCAGCCCTAACATCACATAATTGAGAAAGGATATTAACATATTTACTTGAGTACTGGCCCTAACATCACAAAACTGAAGAAGGATACAAACACACTTACTTGAGTACTAACTCAAACTAGCCAAAACTGAAGAAGGATACAAACACACTTACTTGAGTACTAACTCAAACTAGCCAAAACTGAAGAAGGATACAAACACTTACTTGAGTACTGGCCCTAACATCACAAAACTGAGAAATGATATAAACACACTTACTTAAGTACTAGCCCTAACATCACAAAACTGAAAAATGATACAAACACACTTACTTGAATACTAACTCCAACTGGACAAAAACTGAGGAAGTATATAAACACACTTACTTGAGTACTAACTCAAACTAGATAAAACTGAGGAAGTATAGAAACACAGTTACTTGAATACTAACTCCAACTAGACGAAACTGAAGAAGGATACAAACACTTACTTAAGTACTAGCCCTAACATCACAAAACTGAGGAAGGATATAAACACACTTACTTGAGTACTAACTCCAACATAAAATCTTCACAATTAAAATCTAGGAGTGTCTTGAAAAGGGCCAGTGTGATGGTACACAGCTAAATGAATAAACAAAAACGTTTTTAAATACTAAACATTCTAGGAAACTGTAACAATGTCATGAACAAATTCTTGATCATTTCCCTGTTACTGGTGGGCAAAACAATTATTCCTTCAATTCCTTAACTTCAGTTGAAATACATGTAACTCATCATAGTTGAACATACAAAATACTAAATAAAAATCCACAAAATAAATATATTTTCTTAAAAATAACTACAAATAAAATGGTAGCTTACAGTAGACTGGGATTCTATTCTTTTCACTAAGGTATCCAAGATTTGATGACCTTCAAAATTTGACATTACTATAAACTTGAGGAAGACTTTGATTATGGTTGGTTCTGTGATGGAGCGAAGAAACAACTGCAAATAAGCTGTGGCTGCTATGACTTCTTCTGTGGATGTCTAGAATAAGCCAAAGGAAAATCTTCATTATTATCATTTTATAAACCAATAATTTAAGTTATGTTTCTGAATTTCTGAAACTGAACATGGTTCCTAAACTTTTACTTTCACAAAATTCCAAGACTACTAAAACAGTTTTTCCAAGACCTTTTAAGTTTAACAGAATTATATTGAAAACTTCATGTCTAACTATCAGTTTTTCTCTTGTTAGCCTGTTGTCAATAAACATGAAATACCATACAGTGAAGATCAACTTATTTTTATTCTTACAATCCAGCATGTCTTGCAAAGAATTTTGTTTCATCCTTTTGTGAGGCTATCATAAATTTGGTATTAATGGCACTACATTCTTAGCTGCTACTAATTTTTATTTTTCCCAGATTTTCCTTGGCTTTCAAGCACTGAATAAAAATTTAAGCACCTTTTCAGGCCCAAGAGGCCAAAATTATACATTATTCTATTTTTACTGAACAATTGGGAATCACGTACATAGGAACCAAGTAAACTTAATCCTATGAAAAGTATTTCAGACATTTTTTACTTTTTAATACTAAATGAACATGTTTATATGGTATCAGGTCTAAAATTTCTAGCATTCTTTGTTATCAGTTAAGTTTAAAGTATGGATTTTTTTGACAATTCCCACGTTAATCTGCTCGATGTTATATATATATATATATATATAATGTTTTACTGAAAAATATTTTTAATGAATTAAAGCATGAAAAACACCAAAATTACTATAATGTAAAATTCCATTAAAAAACCACACAGATAATAGCCACCAACAACTACACTGAACAGAAAACATTACTTAATAGTGAAATAAACATGATAGAAGAGATGCCATAAAGCATATCATGATATATAATAAAAGCCACTCTTTGTTTATAACACCCCCTTTGTCTACAACGCGTTACTCTCTGTTGGTAACGTTCATATTGCATTGGTAGTTTGTCACAAGTAGAAGTCTTGAGTTCAAATCCCAGTTGAGTGGGAATTTTTTATAACTTTTTTAAATTATTAACTCATCATGTTTATACCAAGATATTACAATATTAGAAAAAATAACAATAACATGATATTTTATTATCTGTTAACATATGACTACAAGGACTGGGTGTCAGTGGTTATAGTGCTCGACTATTATGTGGAAGTCAACATTTTCCTACACTGAAAATGTATTTCCATTAGTCTCTTGCCTCATCTTGTTCACATCTTGTACTGCCCTTTACATGCACAAATATTTGCTCGCCACTAGCCTCGATACTCCCACCTATCCTCACATGTGGTAGCTGCATGATAGCATGCAAATGAGCATATAACAATCCTCCACCAATAGGAGTGCAACAACTCCTAGCATAGCTAACTCCCTCCATGAAGATCAGCTCAACTTCACTTTGAGTTTGAGCAATGTTAAAAGACACGGAAAGTGGGAAGGGAAGGTTGGAAGTGTGAGGGGAGGTAAGAATCTATCAGAAATACCTTTTAATTGTAGGAAAATGTTAACTTCTGCAATGTTAGCACTGTAGCAGAAACCATAAAGTCCATAACCAAGTGGCATCTGGAACAGAATATCAAGTCAGAAGTAGGAGGAGTGTCTATACATCATCTACACCACCACCGTACTCTCAACTGAGTGGAATTAAACACACTCGGGGGTCCACCACCCCAGCAGCTAGGAACTAGTAAGGAGTCCTGTACTCCACTGGATAATTTGTGTGTGTGTGTGTGAAGGGAATGCACTGGAGAGTCCAGGGGAATGCAACACCAGAGACAGTGCAATGGGTGACTCCAAAACCTTATATTGAAATGTACACCTTTCCTGATACAGCTAAACTAAGGAGCAGCAGCAATGGGCAGCAATCCCCTTCTGCTTTACTCATGTTAGTCCATGAGTGTATGGTCCAGGGTGAACATATTTATGATGCACTACACCAGGAGGAAAAACCTACAAGCGATCTTGTAGAACACCCATCTCAACAGTGCAGGATTAAGAATAAGTATACCTCGTCAGGCAACACTTGGAAATAAGTGATAGGATTTGTATAATTTGTATATGCAAGAAAGGCCCCTGTAAAAAAGAATTGTATAAAAGGTGCACCTACCCACTCACAGAGAAACCATGTAGCTAAAGATGGCAACTTGAGGTAAATGCTAACCCATAGACCAGGGAACAGCCAGATGATGCAGATAATGCAAGATAAATGTATGGGGAATGTTCCACATGCCAGCACAAATTATATCATCTGAAGGACAACAGAACTGAGCAGCCAGGAAAATGGTAAAGTGACAAATGTAATGGGAGGAGATATGGAAGAGATGAGAATCATCATGAGAAAGGGAAGAATAATGCAGACAAATCCAACCAGTGAGGGTAATAGTAGAAATATCATGGAAAGGGTTCCAATGAATAAACAAATGGGAACTACAGAAGGGAGCAGTGTGAGCCACATAACAGTGGAGAGCCTGGTTAGGACATAAGAGACAATCCAGATTGGAACAAGGATAAAGGTGAGAAATGGAAGGTAAGGCAAACTTGTCCTCATGTGTGGCCAATGTTTTGGGCAAGAAAGACCAATACAGGTAGAGGATAACACAGGACCTATAATGTAATGCGTGAGAGACACTGAAAAGGAACAAATCCAAACATTGATGTACATGCCTAGAAGAGGAAGAAAAAGGTCCTTAAGTAGAGACAATACAAAGAGAGGAAGTGTGAGGGCATGGAGAATGACACTGAGGTTCCAATCAGGGAGGGCAGTAGGACATGGAAGGCAGTGAAGGTGGAAGGAGTGAAGACATGGCAATATCTTGTGAAACAGAAAGTGGCTGACAATGCTATGTGATAAACATCAATAGCAGATACTGACAGTCCCTTGTCATAAAGCCAGATAAGGAAGGAAGTCAGGGGCAGGAGAGTAGGACAAGATGGAGGAAACCATGATGAGAAAACCAAAGATAGAAATACCACTTATGATGGTAAACTGACATGGATGACGAGTGCACTGAATGGGAAATTAGGGAAGCAACCTATAAATATAATCTGGCCTGTCTGGAAAGGGATCAGACAAAAGCCATGCATGAAGATGGAGCATGGGAAGAGAAGGATGTAGCATGCTCAAATGAGGCTGACTAAGAGAGGAAGAGGAGTTGTCAGTAGGAAAAGACATAGAATAGGAAACCAAGGCTGCACCAGCCAGAGTGGAGCCATCAAGAGGACTCAACATGAAGTGGTTTGTATGACTGAGAGGACATGAGGAAAAAGACATCCCCCCTCCCAATCCTGAATGAGGGCATTGACAGGTACAGCCAAAGGTTGAGGAACAGGAGACCATAACCTGGAAAGTTTGGAATTCAGGTGGGTGGTAAATGCATCTAGTTCCAGAGTAACTCATTCACTATGAACACAGTCAACCAAACACCTGTGGGTTGAGAGACCACTTTGTGGAAAGAGTCTGGTCGGGACATGACAAACAATCTGTAAGCAGAAAGTTTTCTTTCATTAATATTAAATTCAAATAGACATGATTAAATCTATTGTACTACAATGATCTCAAAAAAATTCAATCTTCCTTGTCAAATGCATGGTAAAAACATGTACAGTATTAATTCAGTCTATAATTTTTCCTTTTGTTGAGAAGTACAAATCTAGTAACTCATTGATAAAATTATCATCACTTGATAGTGAAGGACAATTCTTGGCTGGAATTTTCATCCAGTCCAAAAATTTCTCAAACTCTTCTTCACTTTCTGATCCGGAACTACTCAAAGATGTAGTCAAAGGTTTCTGAGAGATTCTAACATTTTGTTCAAGCCTTCCAGCTCATTAAATAGAGAATCTGGAATTGAGTTTGCTCCAAAAGTTATAGATTCTGCTGATCATCTTAGAGATACATTAATTCATGAATTGTGTCATGCTGAAAGTTGGATCATTAATGGTCATTGGGGTGGACATGGCCCTATTTGGAAGATCTGGGCAAGAAAGGCAAGCTTTCAGTTTCCAGAACTTCCACCAATAACTTGTTGTCATTGTTATGTTATTCAAGCTAAATACACGTATAGATGTATTTGTTGTGGAATCTGTGTTGGAAGACAATCAAAGTCTTTAGATATCAACAGTAAAGTATGTGGCCATTGTGGTGGTAAATTTGAATTGCTGGTGAACGGAACATTAAACTCTGCCTCCAAGACACCAAGTGGTTTTTCTATGTGCAAAAAAATTATGGATCTTTGAAAAAAAAAATCAGTATTTGAAACATGCTGAAATCATGAGGTTACTAGGTTTGGACTTCTCATCAAAAGCAAAGATTGTAGACTGAATTAATACTGTACATATTTTTTACCATGCATTTGAAAAGAAAAATTGAATTTTTCTGAAATCCATGCCCAGATTCAGGGCACCTGGTATATGACATGCCAACAAACGAATGTGATGGCTGTGGGCTCAAAATAAGAGGTCTAATGTGTGGAAACAATGAGACCTCGACCAAATGCCCCCTTGTTGAAGGATGTGCAAGACAACCATGGAGTTGTCGGAATGGATCATAACCAACCAGTTTTGGAGAGATGGAAGGAAATGAACAAAGGCACAATGGACAGCAAACAGTTCTAAGAGATTGATATGAAGAGATGATTCCGCTACAGACCAATGTCCCAAAATCTCCTGCATGTCAAGATACACACTCAAAATCGAAAGAGTAACATCCATGAAGAAGTGCACCTTTGGATGAGGAATAAAAATATGCACTGCATTGTTGTCTCAGTTCAAAAACCAGGTGAAGTCCACATGCAGCAAAGGACAAAGATGGATAGGAGTGTCCAAAGGATCCTGAATGAGGTTCCACTGATCTTGTAAAACCAACTGAAATGGTCACTTGTGGGCTTGACTGAGGGGAATGAGGACTTCCAAAGAAGCCCACATCCCCAAAAGAAATAGAACCTCTCGTGCAGTTGGAGAAGGAGAGGAGAAAACAGTTCAAACCTGAAACTCTTTCGATTGCAGGCAAAAGAGAGAAAGTTGGGCCCGGCCAAGACGGGAATTAAAAAATACCCTGAAATGAGTAAGATTGCATTAGAAATGGGAAGGACTTCTCAGCCTTGACCAGCCAAACTAATTGTGCAGCCTCTCAAAGAAGAAACTGAATGTAAAGGTAAGGGGTGGTATACAAAGAAGCTAAAAGCAGCCAGTCATCCATGAAATGGTGGAAATGAAGGCCCCTGGAATGAAGAAGATAGGCAAAGGCCTTGACCACTCAACAAAAATGTAGATAGCCAAAACCAGCCTGAACAGGAGAGCCTGTAACTGGTAGATGGAATCCCTATGGCCAAAACTAAGAAAATGCAGGGGAGATGGGAATGTGGAGGTAAGCATCCAAGACATCTACCTTCATTGTCCAAAGACCAGGAGTAAAAACCTATCAAAGAGGTAGGTATGATTCCATGGTGAATCAAGGAAGGCCTAGGAAGTGGTTCAAGGAAGAAAGGTCTGTGTTGACCCACCAGTCCTTGGTCTTCTTGGGGACAATGAACAAATGTGAATAGAAACCTGACTGAGAAGGAATCATCCACTCCACAGTGCCTTTGCAAAGAAGATCTAGAACTGCCTCAGACAGATGCTGGCTAGAAATGGGATCCTGGGAGTGGACCACTTACAGAAGATGACCAAATGCTCACAAAAAAATGGTTTTGTGAAATACTAGAAAAAGAATAAACATTCTTTACACATACACTGTTACTATAATATAATTAATTTTTAGAAAGATGTTCATAAAACATATATTTAAATTTAATTTTGAGAAGAAAAATTTATCAGTATTTACCCCACTATGAGGGGTAGTCAGCTAGTATATATAGTATATACAAAGAAGTGATGCTATAAAATATTTATATTGTATAATTAACAACTACTAACAGGCAAGAAGTGCTACTGTAAAATATTTATATTGTACAATTAACAACTATTAACAGGCAAGAAGTGCTGCTATAAAATATTTATGTTGTATAATTAACAACTATTAACAGGCAAGAAGTGCTGCTATAAAATATTTATGTTGTATAATTAACAACTATTAACAGGCACAAAGTGCTACTATAAAATATTTATATTGTACAATTAACAACTATTAACAGGCACAAAGTGCTACTATAAAATATTCATATTGTATAATTAACAACTATTAACAGGCACAAAGTGCTGCTGTAAAATATTTATATTGTACAACTAACAACTATTAACAGGCAAGAAGTGCTGCTGTAAAATATTTATATTGTACAATTAACAACTATTAACAGACAAGAAGTGCTACTATAAAATATTTATATTGTACAACAAACAACTATTAACAGGCAAGAAGTGCTGCTGTAAAATATTTATATTGTACAATTAACAACTATTAACAGACACGAAGTGCTGCTGTAAAATATTTATATTGTATAATTAACAACTATTAACAGGCACGAAGTGCTGCTGTAAAATATTTATATTGTATAACTAACAACTCTTAACAGGCACGAAGTGCTACTATAAAATATTTATATTGTACAATTAACAACTACTAACAGGCACGAAGTGCTGCTGTAAAATATTTATATTGTATAACTAACAACTATTAACAGGCACGAAGTGCTGCTGTAAAATATTTATATTGTACAATTAACAACTATTATAGGTATATTGTATAATGGAGGTGAGAGTTGAAAAAGAACACGTATAATGACAACAAATACTGTTTAGACAAGAACTTTTAATCAACTAGTGAATAATTGGTGCATTTTGAACTCCTAAATGACTTGATGGTAAATTGACAGTAGCTACCATTGAAATGTGAGAGAAGATGAGTTTCTTTTCAACTACAGGTAAAAACATTGTTTAACAATCTGCTCTAGGATATTATGCATCACTGAATAACCACTATATTAATTAAAGGTAAAACAATGACACTCCTGTGAATAATTTTAGAACAAATACACTATTCTACCATCTTCTACCTGATGGAGAGCTGGTCCAATCACAGGCTCCAGAAATCCTTGATAGAGGTAATCTACCACTTGGGCTTTTACCACATGGTGAGCTACCTTGATTTGTAAAGGGAGAATAGTGTTATCTTTATTACATACAATTCACAACATAACACCCTTCAAAATATTTTACTTTTTAATCTAGCCAGTAAAACCATCTGGCTAATTTTATGAAATTTTCCACTTGCAGCTACTCAATTTGAAGAAAAATTCATTTAGCATTCTGAACACAAACGAAGCAGAATTTAGAAAACATTACATGGTGATTAAAATTATTCTTAAACAATAAATTCATGAATTCTTGTTAAATGTAACTCTATTCATGTGTAATCTAAATATAATGTTCTCATGAGTAATAATTATGTTTAATTATTAAACTTATATATATCTAATTTGTTACAATCAACTATTTTCATACATGATTCAAAAGTTAACAATTTTCTAAACTGAAATTGTATTTCCAATAGATACTTACCTCCACTTACAAAATACCTTTTCTCGATTAGTATTGCCCCTGTCAGTGCAAATTTTCAATGCTTGTGACTAGCCTTCCACCTCCCATTTCTGCATATTCATATGCAAATGATTATGCAGCAGTTCTCCACCAATAGGAGCACAACACAACCCTATTGAAAACAGTGCCCTCTCCACAACTGTGCTCATTAATCACTTTGAGATTGGTCAGAAAACCTACACCATATATACCAGAAGTGGGGAGGCTGGGTGGGAAATAAGAGAAGATACCATACCACATCTGATCCAGGTATACTTTTCTCTCTTTTATGACATTATCGCAAACATAAAAGGCAAAAAAACATGAAGGAATCCCATAATACATAATACCAATTAATGGGACCCCTGGTTGGCTAGAGCTAATAAACTCTGTAGTGGTAGTTCAATCTCATCCATCACCAAGCATTATCTAGAATGGTATATCAATTCCACAGTAGGCAGAGGATCACCTACATATTCACCTTGAAACAGAAATTGGTAGGGAAGATGAGCTCATGTACCAAAATTTATCTCCAGTTGCTTGCATTTCCAACCCAGCCAACACCCAATCCACCACAAACCAACATCCAACAGGCATTAAGAAGGATGAAAGCCCCAGTGGGATGACTTCTACAGTCCAAAACCTGGCAGAATTGGGTATAATCCTTCCAGGCCATAATAGAAGGAGGATACCCGATCATACACAAGTGGGAATACATGTGCTGCATCCAGCTACAACCAACACCAGATCCATCAAGAACTGACATCCAGCAGAAGGTAGGAAGAGGAACCCCAAACCTGGGATACATGCCCAGTCCAAAACCTGGTGGCATTGGGATTTTTCATCCACATATGAAGACTTACTTAGCTGGACCATCTCCAACCAACACCTGATGCCCCGGGAACTGCATCCAGAGGATGATAGATAGGAGAAATGTCTCAGTCTGAGGGGAAAACTGGAATATATATATATTTGTAATATGGCAAAGTCCTTCAACCAAAACCTGGCAGTATGTGGAATTGTTCTTCAGGTTCGTGGTAGGAAGGGCATCATGCTCTTGACATGATTCTAATCGTAACCAGGCCATCTCCAACTAGCATTGGACCCACTAGGAATGTACATCCAGAGGATGGTAGGATGAAGGAATGCCATGGTGGGAAAAAGCAATCTGTCAGATAGATATACATCAGTACAGCATAGTGCTACAATCAAAACCTGGCAGTTTCTGGAATCGTACATCAGGTCATTGGTAGGAAGTGCTATATGCCATCATCCTACTCTCAACTCAGGGGAACAGGCCTCCATGGTCACCACCCCAGTGGCTAGGCACTGGTAAGTGGCAAGGACTCCCATACTCCACTAGAAGAAAGGAGGGAAAATGCATTAGAGAGTCTGGAGGGCTGCAACACCAGAGACTGTGCAACAGATTACCTCAATACCCTATTTTGAGAAGCAGAGTTACCACGTCAACAGAGTCAATCACCCATCACCTGGCAGCATCTATAACTGTACATCAGGTCCACAGTAGAAAGTCTCAATGCCATAGAGCATCAGAGATGGGCAGCAAACTCTGTCTACTTTACTCACGTGTGTCCATGAGTGTACAGTCTGAGACGAACATATTTATGAAGCAAAAGACCAGTAGATAGAACTACTAGTGGTCCTACAGAGTACCCCATCTCTACAGTGGGCGTAACCTAATTCTGCAACATAATTGTTTTGGCATAGATGACAACTGAGCGGAGACACACAACCAAAACCTGGCAGCATTTGGAATTGTACATCAGGTCCATGACAAGAAGAGCTACAATGTAATTGACATCGAGCATGGTCACAGGATGGACACTGTGAATTAAAAAAAGTATACCTGGTCAGGTACCACTCACTACAGATGGGGATCCACAATGCATATTGGAATTACATGATACTATATTGCAGGCATATACAAATGTTATCATTAAAAATATATTAAATATAAAACCCTGAAATTGAAATGTAGGAGGGACAGGTGTGAGAGAGTAACAGACATATCCCCCTGAAGCATCCAGAGGACACCCCCAAAATGAGAGGAACAGATCAGATTGAGATGATCTGAGTGGTATTGCACCACATCTGAGCCCGGTATCTCCTCGCCAGAAACATCAACATGATCAGGAGGACCAGACATGGCAGAACTGTGTTCAATCTTACTTCATAGAACTGGGCTACTTGTGGAATTGGATTAACTGCAGATGACAAGGTTTTAGTGTCTTACATTAAAAATTTTCTAAACTACTTTTGTTTATGTTATACCAATTAGTATAGCATAAAATCTTAGCTAATAATCCATATTTTAATTTCCCCTAATGTGACACATTCTCTCTAGGAATCTTCTCTTCTCTATTTTATCCACCACCCTACCAAGAAGTAGGAAATTAAACATAAATTACTCACTATGAAATCGTCATTACTCAGACAAACCATAATTTGCATAGCCTTCAATTTTGTTTAGTTACAAAGTTATCAAATAGAAAATCAGACCCCTCCTGTCACATCCTCTCTTTCAGGATTTATTAATAGTGCTCTCTTACTTTGATTATATATTACCTATAACCAATAGAAAGTCAAATGACGTATTGTATAATGTTCTGTTCTGAACAGTTAGATGTCAATTTCACTCAAAATACAAGCTCTATTCCCTTGGGAAAGTTAACGACTAGCTTGGATGAATTTGTAATGGCTCTTGTCGCACAATTAGAAAGTCAGAAAAATTTTGAAAGTTATGAGAAATTGTCTGCTTTTTGCATGTTATTAGTCTATGTTCTTTGGTCCATTATTTAATTAAATAAAAATTATTTAATGCATTACTACCACTAGTATAAAAAAGTAGGGATAAGTATCATTGACAATTGACAGCAAGAAAAAAGAAGATTGGGTAAGTAATTTATTTCTTATTTATTATTAAAAAGTAACTAAAATGTAAAAATAGGGATCTTTTTAAGTTAGTTAAGATAAATTAGGTTAAATAAATAAATAATATTATAATATAATAAAAATGTTTCACGAGGCACGCACTCAAACAGCTCATAGTAGCTCATGGGTAATGTAATTCAATAGAGTAACTTGAGCTGCACATTCCCCCAAGTGATTTACAACTTATAATGGCAGGGATAGTAGTTAGACACGGTTCAAAGGGCAATAAAACAATAAATATTAATTATAAATAAAGGTATACCATTACCAGCTTAAAGCTATTTAGGATAAACAAATGTAATTTTGTGTCACAATTTAAAGTTATTATAGAAAGAAAAAGAGGGTAATTTAGATTTATTTGGTGGTTACGAGGTTGGTAAAATTGACCAATTCTGTAATGAGAAAATAACAGATAAAATATAAAATTTTACTGAAGAAAATGTTTGAAATGTTGTCAAGAAATTAATAGTCATGTTTT